CACAGAAACACGCCATTACACTGCAGACAGACAAGCGCACAAACACACACAAACTCAGGCACACCATCTCTATTCTCTGAGGTAGATGACATTAAAAATAAATTCATTCAGAGTCAATTTGGAGAATGTTTGGCGATGCAGGGCAGGAATACCATCTGAGCTCTGGGAATTGTAGATTGCTCCCCCTCTCCCTAAGGCATGCTCTTTGTCTATCTATTTGGTGTGATTAAAAATACAATGATGAATGCATATTTCTTCCAGATGAATAACTTGAAGGGGTTGGCAGCAGATGAATCAGAGAGTAGTGTGTTGGTAGAGAGACTAGCCAGGTCAGACCGAGTCACAGTCAGATCCTCTGCAGGCTGGACTAAAAGAGGTCATCTGGACAACAGTCTACCACATGGGGCTGGAGCTGGTTAAATGCACATTTAAGCTGCAGGCAAGACTTTTATGTAAAAACAAAACATCTAATCATCCTGAAAATGGAGCTGCACTGAAACTAAATTCCCATTCAGCAATTTAAGAGTACTAATATTCATCTCTATTGTCAGGTTGGCTCGTGAATAACATACTGTTCACACATAAAAGTGATAAATTGAGCATCTGGACCGAAAGACAAAACCATGTTCTGGTTAGGAGTTCATAAGAACAAATCTAGGGAAAGCTCAAACTGGCTGCGACCAACACTATCTGCAACAGGGACATTTTGTTTAGACGTTCTCAATGCAATCACATTGACAACCATCAATTAATGTTTGTCAATTAAAAAAAATACAAAGTTACAGCTGCTGCTATTCGGGGAAGCCAATGTTTGAAGACGCGTTGTGGAGCTTTATTTAGGTCATAAATGTTAAATGTTGGAAACAATTGCATTTTGTTCCGCCACTCAAAGCTCAGCCCCGACTGTTCTTTGTGCTAATGTAAACACACAAAGACATACATGTATTCATGCACCATACATCCACACACACACAATCAGCTACATGTGAAACGTAAGCCTCCCCAGTGCCTTGGGAGGGTCCGGGGCTTGAAGGGGAGCGTTTGAGGCTCATATCCCCAGTAGAGACCGCTGCTGGCAGGGCTACTGAGTACCCCCCCCCCCCCCCTATTGCCCCCTACAAACCAGTGAAAGAGGAAGGCCCTCCTCTCCTTACATGTCAACTTCAGAGAGCATGCCTCTTGCTGCCTCAAAGCTTTGATACCAAAATAGTCCAGGAAGCCTCTGTCTTAAAAATGCCCCAGCAGACCCTGATTCCGGGGATAGAGGGAGGGGAGAGAAAGCAAGAAGCTGGAAAGAGAGAAAACACAGGAGAACTACAATATTACTGGAAAGTGAAGAAAGATCGGAAGGCTTCGTATGACTGTTCAACTCGGTAGTGTACTGCAAATTACTCAAACAACAAGATGAAATCTCGACCAACAAATAAGTATTTCCTTTTTTTTTTTAAATAGACTGAATTTGCACTGGAGGACAGGATGAAGAAAGGTGTGCAAAGGCCTCCTCTGAGATCCTTGGCTTGCAGGTCTTACAGAGCATCCAGTATGAAACATATGTATATAAATAATACATAAGCAATGTTATTCATAGCTGTGAAAAAAGAATGCTTTAATAATAGAATTGGTGGTGAGTTTAGAGAGCAGAAAAACAATTGAATATTGGAAAGAAGTCTGTTTTTAATGATCTGCTGCTGGAGTGAAAGAGGGGGAGAGAGATAAGACAAAGAGATGCTTGGACGGACAGACGGACTGAAAGATGGACAGACTTCATTTAGGTTTTTTTTGATAATTTTATCATGTTTAAAAAACTATTAAAATGTGCAACTTTCTGAGGGACAATGAAAGAAACATCGAAGTATGACACTACAGAACACGTTTACTTTTTTTATTCAACAGTGAGGCAATGGCTTTCATGTAACTCAGTGCTGAGATGTGAAATACAGTATGATAAGGAGTATAATAAGACCTTAAAAACTCACAATTGAATATGGGATAGGAGAGAAAACAATGACAAAGTTACCCGAGAATATCCCGTTTACAAGACTGTCATATTCTTTTTTTTTTTTTTTCACTGTTATTGTCATTACACAGTACAGGTACTATGTGACAAAATGGTTTCTCTGCATTTGACCCATCCTAGTGTTGGGTTTATGAGGTCTTCTCACCAACCAAACGTTTTGAAGGTTTTGGTCATGGTAACCAGGGCATGGTAACAAGCTACTCCCTCATCTTGTCATAGGAGAGAAAGTGAATTGTTTAAAGGGCAGATGTGAAAGTACTGGAAGAAGGGAGGTGAGCTGCGTTCTGCTGAGGTTGTAACTTTTTGGGGGTTACTACTCTATTACTAGTGGTTGTTAAAAAGTAAAACCATAATACATCTCCTAAAACATCTCATTCAAACACATGTCTTATTCAAGTTTAGCAAAAAAAGTGAAATGTTACAAGACTACGTTTGAACAATCTTTACACACCGAACGCACCCGAATACAACTCTATTGAACCTCCATTCACCGGATGCTAACAGCTAACAGATGATGTTAACTGGCTTTCTTATGACTGGCTTCAAAACTCTTTTTTTGTTTGTTCACATGGTAACAAACATCAGGGCAAAAATAGGTTACTTCCTCTAGACCAGGGGGGTGAAACTCAAGGCCCGGGGGCCAAATCCGGCCCGTGACTTCATTTCATGTGGCCCCACAAGAGCTATGAAAGAATATAATATGTTTATTATACGGTTACATGCCGATTTACTGAAGCACATTGCCCATAAACTCCATGTCCCACAATGCATCTGAAATTTGACTTTTTTTCAGAATTTGCTTTTTTCTCAGAATTTGACTTTTTTTTCAAATGTTCACTTTTTTATTTATTTTTTACTTTTTATCCAGAATTTGTCTTTTCTTTTTAAATCATTTTGTGACATTCTCACTGAAGAGACTTGCAATTATTTGCCCTAGACTTCTGCTCTCAGACGTAGTTGATTATGAAGTTATTACCCTATCCGGTAATAATCCAATGCAGAGGCAATAATGTAATATAATACATTATTTTATATATATTAAATATATATATATATATATATATATATATATATATATGTATATTTATATAGTCTTAAAGTTACAACCGGCCCTTTGAGTGCAACCATAACGCTGATGTGGCCCGTGAGGAAATTGATATTGATAGTGAGTTCCCCAAGTCCACAGCATATTTCTTATCATTCCCTGAACTACAGAAACGTTGAGTCTTGCGGTACTACAGACAAGTGAGTACCATCATGTTTTCACAATTTTGGCATTGAATTGTTACTGAAGTATTGGTTCTCGTGATATCCTTTCTTAGGACAGAGTGAAAAGCAGAGCCTTTCCTAGAAGTGCAGATGCTCCAGCAATGAGTAGATCTCCACATCATGCCTGCACCTGGACTACAGACATGTGGCTTCATACAGCAGTATGGCAGAGAGTAAGAAGCGGACCGGCACTTACTGGACTCCCCTCTCTGCTGTTCGGCTCGACATGCTACATTGCAGGCCTGTTTGACTGACTTGATGACCGTCTTGGTTTACGGGCCAGCTCACTTGCCCAGTTAGCCAGAAGGCCTATGTTGGCGCAGAGGCTCATTCTGCAGGGAGACCTATTGGTCTATTCAGCTCCAAGCTCCCCTACTTACTCAACATATAGGTCTGGGTTACCTTGCTCATTCAGCAATGCCTAGCACTAGTCAGATGAAAGCACTTGCACCTGTCAAACAAACTGCTGGATCTGTGATAAATTAATGATCAAATGGCTGACTGAGAAGAACAGTGGCACTACAGAGTCCTGTAAGAACCAAAGCAAAAAAAAAGGTAAAAAGATGGAAAGGGTGAGAGAGACGAAAAGAAAGAAAATGGAAAATATGAGATCGGATATATGAAGATAGGGACGGAAGAATAGAAAGAGAAACTGACATCAAAACCGAACATATTAACGTGTGTGTGCGTGTGCGTGTGCGTGTGCGTGTGCGTGTGTGTGTGTGTGTGCGTGTAGTTTCATGTGCCTTCAAAGTAAGAGTGGTGGGAGCAGCTTCTGAGTCGGGGTTGCTACAGTACCCTCTAGTTTGTGCAACACACCGCAGTGGCCATATTAGTTTTTACCCTTTAGTATTACTCTTATTATTAGTAGTAATTCATACTATACTTATTTTGAGGTCCTTTTATGATCAATTCAAACAGTTTTAAGCAAACATCTTGCATTTAAAAGCTGCCTACAAACCTAAAATGATGTATTAGTTTGTGACAGTGTTCGTACATTGCAGTAAACATATACACTTTGATAGAACAGCTTTTTTTTTTTTATAGACGAGAGAATAATATCAAATCAAAAGACTTCCTCCAAACACAGTCAAAATTCATTATTCATCTGCAGTACTTTTGTGGGGGGCTTAACACAGGCACACACTCCTTCTGTGTGTGTGATTGAATATACTTTAGGGGGCGAGAGATTGCTTATGGCTTCTGAAGAAAAAAGGGAGAAGATGTCAAAAAAGGGTTTGTGTAAACAACGGATGATTGTGGGTTTTTGTAGTCGCTGTGAGTGACTGGAGACTGTTCATCTCGGCACATTTCCATCCCTATTATGTCGTCCAGGCATTGTGATGGGAGCGCGGCAGCTCATCTCATATGCAGTTATCCAGCTAACTACCAGCCTTCCCCCTGCTGCTCCACCGGTCTTTGATAAGAACAGAGGGAAATTAAAATCATGAACCTGAATTATGAATCCAATGACAAGACTCTCTTGGCTATTTCTCCTCCGCTCCATCTCACTTTTACTCCTGTTCTTTACTTCCCTTTCATTCCCAGTGTTGTTCTCTTTCGCCTTTTTCTTTTTCTCAACAAAGAAACCCCCTTCTCTTTCGGTTACTGAGGATTCAACTGCTAGCATATTCCATAAGAGGGAAAAGGGGGAAAAAGTTTCAAACGACGATAACACACAGTTTGATAAAACTGACGAGGGACTCAATTAAGGCTTCGCTGTCAAAGCAAGAGTGATATTTTATTAAGAGGCAGTGTGCCATTCGATGGGTACATCAAGCGACACATCTGTAGACGAGAGGACTGCAGCAGCCGGGTAAGAGGGACACATGTTGCCACTTTCAGGAAACATCAGTCGAACGTCACTTCATCACGGTCTGCTGAAAAATTAAGAGGCCGCAATATTAGGATTCTCATTTACTTTTTCATTGCACCACCCCTCGCATTTGAGGGGGAATATGTTGCTGTCCTCCTTTTCTTTCCATTTATTTCGAACACATCCAAGCACAAAGAGTCCTGGTATTAGCTTTTGTTACATTACCACCAGAACAAGAGCGACCAAGTTTCTGCCACATCAGACAGGAAAACAACCAAAGGCCCGCATTGCCGCTGTCGCCGAGCCGCTTTTAAGACACAGATTTATAGGGCAGCGCATAGGCTTACTTTGTAACTGTGTCTTATGTTTCACTTGTAATTCTGTTTCCATGATTCCTGATTCAGTATATTAAAACAAGTGAACTAAATGTGGCAGAAACATTGCAGTTATCTTGTGAACAGGGACAGCTATCTGTGTTTAAATAATGATATTTGACAACATTTTAGACAGAATAAGCTCAGCGCGAGATGTATTCAAAAATAACAATTGTGTCAAATCAAAATGAGCCTTAACTGGCATGTCAGTTTCACAAGTGTACTGTCAGGATTCTCTTAAACTACAATGACAGCACTAAAATCATTTAATGCTATATTATATATGACATGTATCCTATTTTTCTCTGAAGAGAAAATACATTTTTCTCTCAGATTTGTACTTTGTTGTCTCACAGATCTGATGACTGGGTGCTTCGGCTTTGACCCAAACAGACTTTACTATTGTTTGCATATATAAATTAAAACCCAGTCTACCGTTGAATTCATTTGAAGTCGCTCTGGTTGAGAAACTCAGACAAAGACAGCTACATTCCCTTTTTACATTAGGGGTAAACAGAGGATTTGAGTATCAATGTTATATACAAGCCTGGTTGTTTGTGTGGACAACCGCTTATATATTCAGCAAGTTCCACTCTACTTTAAATTTCTTTTTAAATAAAAGTAAAGTTAATCCTTCAGAGAGAGCAGACATGGTGGTGTAGTTAAAAAGAAAACAGCGGCGCTCTGATGTTCCTGGAAGGGGCCATGGTGTTACAGCGAGATTAAACTTTAATTCTGAAGTCTCTCTTGTAATTGAGATTCTCTTGTAGGATGTCGTAGTACAGAGAAGAAAGAAAACCCTGTCCACCAACACACTCACCAATATGTGTGTGCATTGGTTTACATGTTGTTGTACAAAAGTATGGGTCTGCATGCCAACATGTCTACACTATGTGTGTGTAAGCACGTGGTGGAGCTGACACTGGGTTGTACAGGAGCTCAGCGCTGACCATACATAGTCTGTTTCATGTAGAACAAAAGCTCTGTTGGAGGACACAAAAGGCCAGGTTCAAAAGCATCGCAGGCGTCAGGAGCCCAGGCCTAGATACATGAAACAATCAGTGTAAACTTGTCCACAGCTAAGAGGGCTGTGATGCACATACAGCAATGCTCCTCACGCTCAACAGGCACGGCTCTGTCCACATAAGACGAGATTAAGGCGCGGGATAAGATCAAACACTGGCGTTGATGATGAGCGCAAAGGACTGTTTTTGTGTTTTTATCATTGATTAATATGTTGCTCCCAAGACGAGGGATAATTTATGCATGCTGCGACTGAAAGCTCTGTTCTGTGCAGTTGGCATGGGTGTGTGGCGGGTAGAGAAAAAGCAGGGGACATATATGCAAAGGAGGTTTGCTTACATATACTGTACATGCATGTTTACAGCTGAATATGATATGATATTTTGATGAGTGATGGTGGCCACATTTTAACGACAGGTACAGGAGATACTGACGGATTCAGGCACTGACGATCAGAATCGAGTTTACTGCACTTGCAAGGATTTGCTTTGGTGTATGGTGGTGCAAACATAAACAACATAAGACAATAAGTTCAGACGTAGTTCATTATGAAGTTAAAAATAAAATATTTTTAAAATACAACTTAAAATTAAAAAGAGAATAAAGACAAGTATTTACAGCAAATGTAAATATACAAAATAATCAATATATGACGATATATGACAAACTGCAGTGTATGATATTATTGTAAATACTTGGAAAACCTAAGTGTTCCTGAACAAGCGGCAGTTATTATATAATAAAGGAAATATACACACAGCCTAAATGTCTGAAGGTCCCACCCCCCCCCCCTTCCTGTTTTTCCCTAATTTCTTCTCCTCTCCCCCTTCCTCCATCACTCTCTCCAGGATATTTATGAGTGATAGATCTGTCAGCGCTCGCGCTAAACAAATGAAAGTTGCAGCTTGTGCCATCGAGGCGACGCTTTCATCAGCGCTCGGCTTTGTTTGAAGTGAGCCCCCGCCTCTCTCTCGTACCACCGTTGAACTTGATGAGTTACTAGTTGGGAATGTGACATTTACATTCAGCTACCACATGTAGCATAACCGTGTTTATATTTCAGCTTCAGAAAGCGTATGTGGTATTATTGGTCTTTCGTGTGGTTTTATAACATTTCATTAAGAGTTCCATTTGAGTACTCTAAGGAAATGAAAACTCATAACAGTATTCAGTGTTGTTATCACTAGATAGCAGCTCAACTCAAATCATACAGGCTATGTTTAACATATCAGTAATGTCATTTTTTAACTGAGTATTGTGAATTTAATATCATCTGAAATGTCAGTATACTTTTTATGAACTGAGCACTGATTTACCAATACAGATTTCAGTTTTACTCTATAGTTAAACATCCACCACCAAATGTTAGGCCACTAATACAGGAAGCGAGTTATTTTCTCCCATTACCCCCTTATATACTCAGTTAGGCAGTAGACCAGGGGTGTCAAACTCAAGGCCCAGCCCGCAGCTTCATTTCATGTGGCCCGTAAGAGCTTGCAAAGAATATAATAAGTTTATTATACAGTTACATGCCGCTTTACAGAAGCACGTTGCCAATAAACTACATGTCCCACAATGCATCTCGTTTTGGGACATGAGCACTGAAGAGAATTGCTATTATTTGCCCCAGACTTCTGCTTTCAGGCGTAGTTCATTATGAAGTTATTACCCTATCCGATAATAATCCAATGCAGAGGCAATATTGTAATATAATACATTATGTTATATATATTATATATTTATATAGTCTTAAAGTTACAACCGACCCTTTGAGTGCAACCATAATGCTAATGTGGCCCGCGATGAAATTGAGTTTGACACCCCTGCACTAGACGAAGCCTTTAAGCGTTTCATTAATATACTAAAACGAAATAAAACAATTTAAAGAAATCTATCTTATTATATTTACCAGTATTATTACTATTTATCATTAGTAAATTGTTTAAATCTTAGGAATGTTGTTGTGATGACAAAATTAAGCAGATACTCTCACAATCTGCATTTTCATTTTTTTAGGCTGAAGACAAAAAAAATGTATTCTATAAAAAAGCAGGCGCTGTGCTTTAACCATCACTTCATGGAAATTGTCCTGGAACTGTGTCCCGTGTTAATAGCTCAGAAGAAAAAACATGCATCACGCAACCTACATTAACAATCATGTATTGAATGAAGGACAGTAAGGTAGGCCACGTGTATTTGTATTAGAGAATGTCTGTGTAAATGTGTGGTGTGTGTGAAAGGCAGTGGGGTAGAGTTCAGTGTTTTGTTCCCTGCAGGCTGTTCTGCTTTCACCAGATCCCGGTGTGTTGTCAGCCCAGGGGCATTGTGTCTAGTTGGGCCTAGCATTGGTCCCTTCACTTTGCAACTGTTTCACAAAAAGAAATCCACTAACCCACTCTTTATCAATGTTTCACATACTGTATGTCCTTTTTATTTAATCCATAATTTGCCCTCGGCATGATTTGCAACCAGTCTGACATCTGTCTTGTTGGCTCAAAAGCAGTCAGGTCACAGCTTGGACTGCATGTATAGAAGGGAGTGCTTAACAATTAACCAGGGTTTCCCACACATAGACTATACTTGGGCGGGCCGCCCAGGTATATTAACGGCCGCCCAAGTATATTTCACGACCCATTTAGTTTTTTTTTTCTTTTTTTTATTCGTCAGCGACCACGACGCCATCTGCGTTTGATTAACTTGTGGACAATGATCCCTCGCTCTACGCCTCCTGTACCCAGTCCCGGACTGGCCATCGGGAGGACCGGGGGGTTTCCCGATGGCCTGGCCTGTTAAGTGGCCTGCCTCACACAGGGTGACTGGCTGTCTACATGATGTGGCCTGCCGACATGGTCACTGTCATACAGATCATAAATCAAAGCCGTTGATTGGTCTCTGTATGTCATTCAAGCTCGGGATAACCTCAGCTCAGGTGAGGTTAAGGACTCTCTGAGTGTTTAGATAGTTAACTTAGTCTAAGTTCTCAGTGGGTCTCAAACGGTTTGGTCACCATTTATGTAAACACTAGGGCTGTCAAGTTAACGCGTTAATAACGCAAAAAAATTAACGCCACTAATTATTACGCGATTAACCCATGTGTATTTTTTGTCCTCGGCCGCCCCGTAGTTTCAGAGCACATCGAGTGTAAAATACCATCTACAAGCTAATGCTGACAGCCCCGCTCCTGCCGCCCACTTGTGGCAGACCACACTTCCAAGCTAACTGGCAGGCCCGGACTGGCCATCGGGAGGGAGTGTGTATGTGTGCCGCGACTCGCGCGAGCGAGGCACACCTTACGTGTTGTTGTCAGCATGTGGTGCTAGCTAGCTGCGCTAACGGACATAAGGAGCTGTTTCAATGACATTTCGCCGACAACTGCGCCGAGCACTTGACTTTATGCAGGTAGCCAGACAGTGTGACATTGTACGAAAAGTCAGCACGGATAGTACGCGCAACATGATTGCAGCGTCCAGGCAGCTCCCGTTCGAGCATATATGCCTTGAGCTGCACATAGCTCCAACGATCCATCACAGTGTGCACACACACACACACACACACACACACACACACACACACACACACACACACACACACACACACACACACACACACACACACACACACACACACACACACACACACACACACACACACACACACACACACACAC